TATTGCACTTTCGTTTTCGTACAGAACTACTCTGGGGACCCACATAGGTATGTTTGAAGATCCCGTGCCAAATACCGGTTGGCCACTTCCGTCACGTGACCGGACCGTGAATTTTCATTTGCCGAGCCGGTAGCAACGAAGGGGATTCCCCTCGCGGGCCATTGTTTACACTGCGCGCCGCAAGACAGGACGTGAACGTTTTCGCTGCATTTCAAAGAGTTTTCTATCGTGTTACCGATTTCAACGCTAATAAATCTTGTTTACAGGCTGAATAATTGTTGCTATCATCTTCATTTGCAATTTTGTGTAGTATTTCGGCCCGACAAGGCCTACCGAACACATGCTCCTTCTTATTCGTCTTCTCTCGTCTGTCTATCTGATCGTGATTCGATTCGATGTCTTAGTCTTAGTCGTTTTGAGTGAGCTAATCCAGGATCTAAACTGTTGAGATTATACATATAATACATAATAGCCTTCAGTACTTTCCATGATTATGTGGCTGGGGTATTCAAAGTATAGATCTACAGATCTACGTTGCGCTCGATCGACAAAGTTATAGAATTAGAATCTAGATCTAGATCTAGGATAAATTTGCTTTGATGGCTTCTCTAGCCTCTCCGGTTGTTCGCAGTGAACAAGTCTGTTTAGCGTAGATCTAGCAATAGAAATCTGTAAGGCCTAGTGTTATTTAAAACAATTTTTTTACTTTATTATTATTGGGTTTTTAAAAATCGGAGACCAGTGTTCCCAAAGCTGGTTAACCCCCTCAAGCAAGATTGAAAGAAGCGACAGTGCAGAAATATATAGATAGGATAAAATAAATTGAGAAAATATACAGATCTAGATAGTATCATGTAGTGCCAGCTTACAGTGTGCCTTTCTTGGTTGCATAGTCTTAGATTCCGCCATTGCAAAACCAAAACACATGGGAAGAAAATGAAGGGGAGGTAGCAGCTTTTTTGGGGGGGCTCGACAAAATCTCGACTCTTCTACATTGTAATTCTAAGAAAGGCAGTCACCTGCCAAATCATTTAAAGATTTCTTAATGTGGAAAAGACTAACAACAAACTCAATTTACCTAAACAATTCGGTATGGCAACATTAACATATAAATTTAGACGGGCATTTCAGCATGCAAAATCTTTATTCACGTTTTTCTCGGAACGACTTTTCTGCCAAATCTGCTGCACTATTTTGATTAGATCTCAGAAAGTTACAGTCAGAGTTGGTTGAAATTTTCACACAAGCCCTTGAATGTCCTATTACCATACATAGATATTTTAACTTCTTCTCCCATTTAAGAACAGAAACTGAAAGACAAATGAGAGTTTACATTGTTGGGGCGGATATTCAATTGTGAGAGGACAGTTGGGGGGGGGCATGGAATTGATGTAAAAACTTGTCAAAAAGCTGTTTAAATAGCCTGTGCTGTGTGAACGTGGTGTATGTTGCTGCATAATGTTGGATTTTAGTGAAAACCGAGATGGTTGTGATTGCACAATGTTTCGAAAACTTTGTTTGCGTTTTTCTCTAAATTGCATTTTCGGCTAATTGGTAACTTTATAGAAAGTGTATCTCAATAACTAACAGTCAGATTTCATTGAAATTTTCACACATTATTCCCAAGATAAGTGCCTTCCTCCTTAAAAAAGCGCCTTTCCTGAATATTGATTCTGTTTTGGGTTATTTGGCATTTTTGCGTTTCAGCATCGCCTAATATGGAATTCTGAACATTGGTCAAAGTGAGGGTAAAATTTGGAAAGTGTATTATAAATATTTGAAATCTGATTCTGTAAGGAGGAGAAGCAAGCAATATATAACATATATATCAAGTATGAAGCTTCTATCTTTATTGGTTTTGTAGAAACACTGTTTATAAAATATAAAGAAATTTTGCTGAATCATTGCCATTTTTTGCTGCCACAAGAACAAAAAAATAAAAAATGAATTTTTTATTTCACAAAACCTCTTTTTTAAAGTGTATGTATCCATTGATGCATACAAAGTGGCTACAAAATGGTTGGAACTGAGTTTTGGCATTTTCATTAGCCACCTCCCCTTAACTGTGCCAGAACTGCATACAGGGAGCTGCTACTTTTTCTTTCTTATTTCTTACGATTGTCAAGTTTCCTCTACTTTTTTTGTATGTTTGTCACTCTCTTGTTACCCACCATTTCCGAGGTGCCTTGAGTGCCTTGATAGGCGAAGCAGACTTTGTGCTGTTGAAGCTAGAGAGGTGAGCAGAGTAAGCCTGCTTCCCTGTATGGACTTCTCTGTTGACATCCACCACTTGGCGCTCATATGACCTTATGCAGTTGCGAGCGCTGTAAAAACTCTACTAAAACAAACAGTACATTTGTAAATGGACTGATTTATCAATGTCATGCTCATACTGTGCCGGAACAAAATAGGGGGAACTGCTGCTTTTTCTTTCTTCCTCCTTACTATCATCATTTTTCATCTACTTCTTTTGTATGTTTGTCACTCTCTTGTGAATTGCTATTTCCGGGGTGCTGTGATAGTCGAAGCAGACTTTGTGCTGTTGAGGCTAGAGAGGTGAGCAGAGTAAGCCCGATTCCCCATTTGTATTTCTATGTTAACGTCCACCCCTTGGCGCTTATATGACCTTGTGCAGTTGCGAGCGCCGTAAAACGTCACTACAACGTAACTAAAAGGCAGGACATGTAAATAATAAAAGTGTTTATGAGGGATCTCTCAATTGGGCGTCAAAGCTAAACCATTTTTTCAATAACGTTCCATTTAAGTTTTCTTTTATAAGACACTTTTGTGGGTGGTTGGCAGGTGCTTTGGTGTGGTTTGCTTCTTCTTTCCTGTCAAACATCTATCGTCCTTATCTCCCCTTATTCTTTTATATGTTTGTTACTCTCTTGTAACTCCTCTAATCCTCTGGTGCTCATATAACCTTATGCAGTTGCGAGCGCCGTAAAACCTGTGCTAAAACTGAGACACTTTTGTTTAATTGTGATGTTAAGCTTATGAGCTAGAGCAGAGAAGGCACTGGCGAGTGTGGCATATTTAACAGTGTGTGATGTAAATTTAGAGAACTCATATGCGAGTGCAATGTTTGGAGAAAACAAACGCATCAGTCACTTCACGTCTCTGTGTGATCCCGTCTGGGGCAAACATACCGTTTCTTTGAGTTTTACAATGCTTATCTGATCTCGATGAGTGTGAGTCGTACAGGTCCGGAGCTCCGTCCACTGTGTTGACCCACCAGTAGCGTCGATCCCTGCTCAGACTAGATCTAGGTTTTAGTCGTGGCTCGGAAGGCCAGTTTAACCTTCGCCGTCTGTTTATATACCCCCCGTGCTCCCTTATTCTC